TACGCGGGCCTCTCACTGTTGTGGCCTCTCCCGTTGCGGAGCACAGCCTCCGGACGCGCAGGCCCAGCGGCCATGGCTCACGGGCCCAGCCGCCCCGCGGCATGTGGGATCTTCCCAGACCGGGGCACGAACCCGAGCCCCCTGCATCGGCAGGCGGACTCTCAACCACTGCGCCACCAGGGAAGCCCTGGAAGCTGTTCTTTAACCAAACCATTAAACCTTCCTCAGAGGTGCCTCCTTCTCCCCCGGGTCCTTCCCATCTTACTCTTCACAGCTCAATCAATCTGTGCTTTTTATAGCCTCATTTTGAAAGAGGTAGGAAAGTAACTTCATTCCGTCTAATGTATGGAAGAATGTGTTTTAATGAGCATAGTTCCTATGGTAATATTGAACAGCGGGGGAAAGAAGAGAAGAGCAAACCACTGGATGATTTTAGAAAAAAACTTCTGCAGATATATAGCATTAAAAGGACATTTTGTGATTAAGTTTTATAAAGACAGGGTTATGTGGAGGGCAGGGAAACTTAAGGGTTATTTTGTTCTGTAAAATGTAACACGGTGATTCAGATCATGTTAGTGAATATAAAATCACCTGTGTTTGTATGATCTGGCTTTAAACCACCCAAGAGAGTACTGTGCATTTACCACTGCAAAAGTTGTAACAGCCTTCCTCAGGCAGAAGTGCTTAAGAGTCTGATAATGTCCAGTAACTTACTTAAAAGAGGATAAAACAACACACCGTCAGGCAAGCATTCGGATTGAAATAGAGCCAATTTAGAAAGCATAGTGCTTTAGTAAATTCAGAAATTAATCCAGATTAAGACATTTTGCTTTCAGGATCTATTTCAAAAGACCAATTCTACAGCTCTAACTTAGAAGTGCGAGCAGTGGAGGGAGTCAAAATGTATACGCTATAAAAATCCTCATGCATTCAAAAGCATACCTTCAAAAATAATAGAGCAAAGTCTTCAGCATGACTTATTTCAAAATGATAGAAATATAGCTTATTTTTTTAAAGAATAAATCCATTGGGAATAGGTAAGATTGTAATTTATTCTGATATAAAGAATCTAGAAATTTAGATAATATATCTGAAACACATTTCTGTCTTTTGTATAACACAGTTTATGTTGTTTGTTCAACGAGTTATTTAATCTATATGTTTCATCCAGAAAACTGACACATTTCTCCTATGTACATGAAGTTACTGACTGAAGTCCACAGGTCTCTAAAGCAAACTTAAGAATTTAATTGAAATTTTATTGCCACATACGCCTATCCAATCAAGGAGAAACTAGTGATTTTTTATAGTTCAGAATTGTGTTCTGAGAGCTAAACTTTCACATCTGAGTTCAACAAACTCCCAAAGACAGATGCATAAGATTATATAAGTGAGACACATTAAAGCAAGTGATTCCATATATAAAAACCCACCACTTTCCCTAAGAAAGGATGCATTTCGTTCACTGTTATTCCTGAAATTTATTCTGTTTATATAACATGAACACACAGTATCTATGATTATAAATTTCTTGGTAACCCACTGTTGGGATTTGTTTAAAATATTTTTAGTGACGATAATCTTTATCTCTTGTATAAATAAGTATTTCTTTGTGACCTTCATGACCGACTTAAAAGTTCTTTGAAAATCGTAACATGACCTTACCTTGCTTCCATTTTCTCTCGCTTCTTGTTCCATCTTGAGGTCAGAAATCAGCAGATTCTTATATTTGTTTTTTCCATTACTGCTGTGGTCATCTATTCTGTATTCTGAAGTCAGCTGTGCTGAGAGGGGACTGTCACTCAGGTTCAGTGGCTGCTCGTCCAGCTCCAGCCCAGTTTTGCCATCACCGTTAGAGTCACCCATCTCCCTGCAGTGTGTTCCCCCTGAAGCAATTGAACTATGCCCCAGAGTCTCATTGCCATTAAAGCTCTCGGCAGCAGAATCATCTGTTGGAAAGAAAAATTTATATTTTGATTTTATTGATATGCTAATCAGTTTCTACTTCAACTAGCATTTTTTTTTTTTTTTGGTACAAGAGATAAAAGGAAAATTTATAATGATAACAGGATAAATGTATCAAGAGGTATAACAATATTCATAAACAATACCCATAAAAATTTGCTGTGATTTTGATTGGGATTGAGAACTTACAACTTGACAATATTGAATCTTCCTAGTCGTGAACATGGAAGATGTCTCTATTTACTTAGTTCTTCTTTGATTTTGTTCATCAGAGTTTTGTAGTGTTCCTCATATATATCTCATACATATTTTGTTAAATTTATACCTAAGTATTTCATTTTGGCATGCTAATGTAAATGATACTGTGGGGTTTTTTTTTGTTTTTTGTTTTAAACATCTTTATTGGAGTATAATTGCTTTACAATAGTGTTAGTTTCTGCTTTATAACAAAGTGAATCAGTTATACATACACATATGTCCCCATATCTCTTCCCTCTTGCGTCTCCCTCCCTCCCACCCTCCCTATCCCACCCCTCCAGGTGGTCACAAAGCACCAAGCTGATCTCCCTGTGCTGTGTGGCGCTTCCCACTAGCTATTTATTTTATGTTTGGTAGTATATATATGTCCATGCCACTCTCTCACTTTGTCCCAGCTTACCCTTCCCCCTCCCCATATCCTCAAGTCCATTCTCTAGAGAATAGACTCAACTAGCATTTATTGAGCTCCAATTGTGTGCTTGGCATTGTGCTACCTAATTTTACATATAATGTGTAGTTTATCCTTAGCAATAAACTTGTGAAGCAGCCATTATTATTTTTAATCTAGTAGGCAAATTTAGGCACAAGAAGTGAAGTAAAATAATTAAAAGATAAAATAATAAGATGAAACAAAGAAAACAGTTCAATCTCAAATGCAATCTCAGAGAAAAGTAAATTAAGAAAAAAAAAGAGCAAGAACAAGATATTTGCCAATTATTTTGCAAGTAGTTTTTGTTTTTCCAGGGAGAACAACCAGATTTGGTGAAAATTCTCTGATGAAAGCATCTTCCACCTTGCTAGTGGGGTATATATTGGTACAAGCTATGGGTGTTTAATATGCATCTGAAACATTAAAAGTGCTCAGAAACTTTGCTCCAGTCATTACGAAGACTATTAAGCCTAAGGAGTTTAATCATTGCATGCACCTCTGTGCAGGTAAAAAGACAGTTAAATCAGTGTTGCTTATAATACAAGATTTAGAAATGATATAAATTATCAAAAATAAAAATTTGGCTTAACATACGTTGGAACATTTAGATTATGCAATTAATCAATATTCCATTTTAAATACACAAGAAAATGTGAGTCATGAGGCACTGACTGGAAAAAACTAGCTACAGAAAGGTGTGGTCAATATGATCCTGATTTTGTAAAAAGAAAACACATAAACACAAGAACAAAAAGACTGAAAAGTTGTAGTCCAAAACGTTAATACTGATGTCCTCTTAACAGTGTGGCACTGGATTTTGTAATATTCTCTATTATCTACTCTATGTAAATTTATAATGTATTATGTATCATTTATAATATATAATTAAATGTATATATAATTTTTCTATAACAAAAATGGAAAAACTGTAGAAAAAAAGGAAAAAGGAGAAGAAGCAGAATTAGGGAAACTTTTCTGGCTTTAAAATACATAATAAGCTTGTTTAGAAGAAAATATATCAATAACAATGTACTCAGAGTGAGAAATAAAATTTATGTAAAAAATAAAATTCTGTTTCTCTTAATTTCCTCTTTACAGTTATGATAGAATTTACTATTAATTTTAAAGGATTATGATGGACAAAAGTATTAAACTGTTTCCTTTAGGGCAGGGCTATTGATGAAACCATGTAAATATCAGTGAGCAAAAGTAATAATATTCAGTGATTTTTTGTGACTTTTTTGTTTGATTTCTGCTATTCTCAAATATGCTTTCCTTTTGTAAGGTGCAATGAAATAGCTGATGCCTTCTAATCAATTAAATTCACAGAAATAATGTTTACATTCTGAAGGAGTAGTACAGCTCACTTCTTCATTCATTTATTCAGCAAACATTTACTGAGTGCCCATTTTTGGCCAAAAGGGGGTTAAATATTTGACCAATAGAGACCCCTGCAGCTTCAATGAGTCAATGAGTTCACAGATAATTTAAAGAGACAGAAAAATAAACATGCAGCTAAACTACAGAGTAAAAAAGGAACAAGGAATCCAGAACAAGGGATAAAGGCATCAGAGAAGGTTTCTAAAGGTGACTGAATTCCAAAGCTTTAACCAGGTGAAGAGTTGGGGAAGAGCATTCCCCACCTAGACATCGGCAGGTGCAAAGTCACAGAGGCAAGAATATGCAGGGCACATGAGGAATAAGAGTAGAGAGCTGAGTACAAAAGAGAGACAGAAGAAAGGAAGACCTAAAAAGGGAGGAAGATAAGTGTTTTGTGTATCAGAGAGCTTGGATTTTACCTTGAGTGTCAACAGAAGTAATTTTAATTTACTGTGGGAAGTGCTGTGAAAAAAATATGCTTTAAAGAGATTACTCTGTCTCGGATGAGAATAGTATGAAGGTGACAAAATGGAAGTTGGGGAGACCAGTTAGGAGATGTAGAAGCCATCTAAGTCAGCATTGCTGAAAGCTCAAAGTAAAACAGCAGCAGTGCAGAATAAGAGTGGATGACTAAAAAAAATCTTAAGAATAGAAAAGAAATCAAAAACAAACTTATGGTTACCAAAGGGGAAACGTAGGGAGGAGGGATAAGTCAGGAGATTGGGATTAACATACACACTCTACTATATATAAAATAGGTAACCAACAAGGACCTACGGTATAGCACAGGGAACTCTACTTAATATTCTGTAATAACCTAAATGGGAAAAGAATCCGAAAAAAATGAATATATGTATATGTATAACTGAAACACGTTGCTGTACACCTGAAACACAACCTTGTAAATCAACTATACTCCAATAAAAATGAAAAAAAAAGAAAAGAACAGTTAAGATTGGTAATAGATAGACAAAGGTCCAGAACAAAGCCCAGGTTCCTTGCTCTAGTACAAAATGAAAACAAAGGGCATTCAGTGTAATTATCAGCAAAATAGTACTTTTAAACAATTTTCTGAACCTATTTTGTGAGAAAGTTAAAACGTGTTCACAGCGCAAGATTCTACTTTTAAACTACTCTGTTTACGTACCTGTTCAAGAAAAGACCTCATTTGGAGAGAAGACAAGAGAATTTAGGAAACTGGCCATAAGATATATGACGTAGCAGTTTCCATGGCTATTAATTTGAGAAACTGATAACATTCTTTTAACAAGGAAATATCAAGGTTTGAAAAACAAAATTAGGGGAATGACGTATGAGTAATTTGGAATTTTATGGACATCCTATTATGCTAAGTCATATGGTTATGCTAAAGTATGAAAGGTCATTTCTGATTATTTCTTTCCAAGAAAATCCAAAGAAGAGTATAATGGACACATTCAAGTCCAATTATTTAATTCATGAAGAAAACTGTGATTTAACATTTGTGTACTAGAATCCTTTAAAAAATAATAAAAGTTTCATGTAAGAAAAGTTTATCAATATGTTAAAAAAATATAATGCTGAAGATACATTTAAAAACTAACTCTACATTAGAATGAAACAAATCCAATGTCAATTATAGTTAAAAATTAAACAAGCTATATCTGTTTCTTTAATCTGATATCATCATACATATTAATAAACAGTATGCCGTTTATTCATTTTTCAGGTAAGAGAAACATCATTTATCAGGAGAATCTTTAACAAAAGTCATGTATTTATAATTTTTGTATAAAGAATAAACAATAAAGGAGAAAACATTTTTAGACAGAGTGGTTCACTCCAGATGTTACCAAGGTAACTATATTCAACAGCTTTACATATTTCATTCCTGAGTAAATCAGTATGTTTCATGAAGAACAAATTAATTATTCACTCATTTGTAACAAATACATATCCACATATTTTATCTTGTAAATGGTAAAAGAACTGATAATCTCACGTGCCACTGTTTCATAAATCAAAATTTAAAACAAAGCTTTTGATGTCTGTATTAGAAAAATTTAATATAAAGAGGTGAGCAGACATTGAGGATACTGTAATGATTTTTTATTGTCTAGCTTTGTAAAACCACGTTAATGGCTTTTATTCTCTCTTCCTTAAAGATACTTTTTCAGAATTATAAACCACAAATCTAAGGCTCCTGTTTATCATAACAATTCACATCAGTTTACTGCTTTACATGGGAAATCTGCTTCCTTACCCAACAGAGTTTGCTCCATCCTGAGTGACTGCTGCCATATGGGTACCGGGCTGCTACACATGTAGTGTTTAGATCTGTAGATATGACCTTTAGGTTCACAGGCCCTGATCGATGGTGTCTGTCTCAAATTTCAGCCTGGGTACCACAGAATTGGAACCAAAAACTCTGTATTTGAGTCCCAAGGAAAAACAGCACCTGGAGCTCTGGAAATTAAGGTGCCCAGTGTACCTAGCAACAGAGGAGAATGTGAAATATGATGACAGGTAGTGTGGAATCTAGTGACATCAGGAGGGCAGTTGAATATTTGGGTTGTGTTTGTGCTGAGGCTAGTTTTGATGGGATGAATTTAGTGTTGCCAAGGGGGCTATCCAAGGGAGCCTGGCTCTTGTCTATCACACTAACCATGAGTGGCAGCCTATTTGTTTACCTCTTTCTCCTCCCCTACTCCCCATTCCCTCCACCAATTAGTACAGACCCTAGAAATACCATTTGTTTAAATTATTTCTAACATCCCCGCCAGCATTTTGTGTGAAGTAGTTACATCAGCACCAGAGTCAATGGTTAGCTCTCCCTATATAAAAAGAATTAACCTATAACAGTGGGTGGTGTATGTATATCTAAGTATATCTATTAATATACATAATATGTAGATCTATCTTTCTCTCTCTCTATAT